TAAATGCGCCCTAGCATCCTGGATCTCGTTTCTCTCGCAAAAGACTAATTTCATGGTGTACTCAACATCTTTTCCTTTTTATTCAACAAAATGGTTTTAACGTTTTGATTCCGTGTGTAAGCAAAACGTGCCTTCAGTTGCAAAAATCGGATTTTCTTGTAGAAATGTATTGGTAAATGAGAAATCATAGGATTGTTTAACGATAACGGAGAGGGCGAAAACATAGAGTAGATTCATACAGTATTCATATTCTACTGTAGTAGATACACTAGCAAATGTGAACAGAAATAGTTTTATCTCACCCTGTCTTAAAGGCCATATGAGCTATTGGGTAGCATCCATCGTCGTCGTCCATTTTGAAACGTTAAACCAAATTTTCTCCTTTACCTTGTTTTTCCTTAGGGACTTTAGTTTAAAAATTAGATCCAGTGGCTTGATCCATCAACAATCGTAGCCGCTAAAGGTTTAAATAAAAGAACAAGGTCATAGAGGTAAAACTGCAATTTTAGCTTATATCTCAAATACTAAAAGAGAGCAAAACTGACATGATAAAATAATAAGCAGACCAATGTATATATCAAGCAATATTCAGAAAATCAGTTATCCCAATTTTTAGTCATTCACCATATTTTTTTTTTTTTATTTATAGCAAATTTCACAGTTGTGGGTTGAAAACTTTCCTAGATAGAGAGAAACTTTAACAACATATTGTAAAAATGACCAGCAAAATAATTAAATGGCCTAAATCTTCAGTTGAATACCTAATGGAGTTATTGCCCTTGAATGACTATTATTATTTATTTGATAGCCCATTATTCTCCATTCTTCATATCTTAGCACCCCATTATTCTCTTTTCTTTATGTTTTGGGACATTTTTTTCTATTCTTCATTTTTCGGTCCATTATTCTATATTCTGTAAATCCAGTGCAGACCCTTTTATAGAAGTTTGTGTCCTTGAATGACTGTTTTGTCCATTTTCATATCATTTCTGTGGAAACTATAGTAGATACAGAGAATTTTAATAGCAATAATAATCAGCAAAATAAGATCTATAAGTAAGTTAACATGACCGAAATCGTCAGGTGATTCCGTATAGGAGTTATTGCTCCTGATTGACTATTTTTACCCTTTTTGTGTTTTAAGCAAGATAATCTATCTTGAAAACTATATGCTTTAAACAGCCAAAAATCATCAATTAAACAAGATCTACAAATAAGTCAATAAGGCGAAAATCATCAGTCTACTCCTTATAGGAGTTATAGATAGGCTGAAACATGAAAAGCAACACAGGATTTACAAATAAGTCAATATAAATAAAATTAACAATCGACTCCTTACAAGAGTTGTTTCCCCGAAATCACATTTTTATCTATTTTTCAAATTTTGCTTTTTATCTATAAAACTATAATGGTTATATAGAAACTTGGCCAAGCAAAAATGATCAGCAATACAAAATATAGGTCAACACAGTTTCCATTCAACACAAATATTCCTGTAACTTTTAATCAGTTTAACGCAAAAGTGACAGTTGAGCAATTCATGCTCTATGGGGCCTTTACTTTGTTTTTGTTATCCGAATATTTTTTAACTTTTCCCGAAATTTTCTAACATAGGGACGTTTTGTGTTGTTTTTTTATAGAGCAATTAGATACAGTCTAGGGTTACACTTTTTAAGTTATCGATAATCTTTTTCGCACTTTCATGTAATTTCAAGAAGCTTTTACAAAATATCATCTCGAGTAAAATTAGGATCCCACCCATAAATGTACTAAGAGTTTATTTTTGTACTCTTTTTTCTTACAATCAACCTCAGTTTGTGGCAAAGGATCTTTAAACTTTAATGGCTTTGTCATACCTTCATGGATTTTTACAAAATTTAGACATAAACTTCTTCATAATCTTCATTTACACTGACAGCAGCAATCGAAGGCGAGACGCAGGGTCCCGCCTAACTCTTAACGATTTTTATGTTAAAGGGGAATCACGGAGTTGTCACGAAATGTTTACATTCTTTTCTGTGTGATTTATTACATCACGGTCCCATTTTCTAATATTTACTTTGAAATAATTTTTTAAACGATACATTTTGCATTAAAATATTGAAATTTGAATTGATTTTTTAAATAAAGTGCAAAGTGTTGACTATAATGTAAAAAAAAAAATTTAACGGAGCAACAATGTCGTATTAAATACAGTTCAAATTTTCAATATTAAAAATGTTTCAAGATTTTAAAAGTCAATTTAAAGTTGAAAATTTTGATTTTAAATGTTGAATTCCGACTTAAGATGAAAGTATATGTCTTATAGAATATATATTATGTCACCAACACGCTTCTGTGGAAAATGCCGTGTTTTAAAATTATTTCAGAAACAGCGTAGAGCTATAATATACACATATAGTTACCGGTGACGCATCTACAAGTAAAAATATTACATAATACAACATTAAAGAATACTCGCATTGGCTTAAAGCCAGCGCGTACTCTGTCCTGCCTTCTGACACTCTATCGTTATCGTAATTCCTCACGTACTTCCCAATAGATGTCTTAAGTAAATTTGTGTACATAACTTCAATACGTAAAAGTAATAAATGGGACTTTTAAATCGTACACTATTTGGAATATTAGATATTCAGTACACTTGTACAGTTATGTGTCCTTTTCGTAATCAAATCGCACAGCTGTGCCCTCATCAATTAATCGATATGTATATAAAATAGATGATGTATCCATGTTATGACTACGTTATAGGGAAGTAATTTAAAAAGGAAAGTTAAAATTCAACACAAAAATGTTTTAGGCGATATGTATAAACTGTAATTATCATTCATTGTGTAAACCCAGAACAATATGGCAGATATTCAACAGTTTGATAATTTTATGTCCGTAGCTTTTGGATTAAAAATAACAGTTGAAGGGTTACATGATTTTGTAGCCGACTCATTGAAGACAACACATAGAGACATTTATGTGAAATTTTCATTAGGAAACTGTAATGTTGACTGTAGTCGAAAGTTTGGACGTGTGTTTGGAAGATGGTGTACAGTATGTTTGGACTGGAAAACAGAGCTTCACAAATTAAACCGCTTCAAGACACATTGGGAAAGAATTAACTGGAAGGATATCGATACAGTTGACTTTCCACTTTCCTTTGAAGAAATGGCAAAAGTTTTTGTTCAGGATTTCAAATCTGTCAGACAAGGACTTCTTCAAGATTTAGGAGCTTTAATGTCACTTTTTAAAAATATGAAAACATACAATGTTATGATTAGTGATCAAACCATTGATAACGTTAAAAGAACACGAAATCAAAATTTTGCTCACAATTATACTCTTTTCTTACATGATGTGGAAAAAATACAAAGTATCAATAGTCTTATTATTCTTCTTAGAGTACCAGAAATCAGTAGCACTGAAAGTGCTAAAAAGGCCTTAGCTGATTTAGAAGATCTAAAACTGAACCAGAGAATACCGGAGCGATTGCTTCAGCAGCCTTTAGCTGAAGACGTTGTTACATCAGTTAGGCTACTAACGGAATCATCATCCAATGAAATTGTCGAATTTTTTTTCCAACAGAGATTTGGTAATATGTTGTCATTGAGGAATGAAAGAACACCCGGCTCCATTTTGCTGAATCGTCCGACAACACTTACTTTACTACTTGTTATTGCAATATTGATTGGTATAGTGTCTTATATACAGTTTTCAAGCGTTGATGAAGAACACTTGGAAGGTAACGTCATGACATGATTAATTCCTATTCTAATATGACGTGCTGCTTTAGTATTTTGAACACAGCGTGATAAAATTTTCGATATACATCTTTACTAAGAGCAGGCTCACCTGAGATAACCCCGGGTTCTAGTTTTTTGTGTTGTGTTTTGTATACTTTTGTTTGTCTTTTTATCGGGTTTCATTTTATTGTCATGGCATTGTGTTTGTTTGTGTACCTCCCACGCAAATCCACATGTTTCTTAAGCTATGTGCAAACACTATATCGTTTTCCTTTTGTAAAGACATACTAAGAACGGTTATTGATGTTAAAATATATAACAAAAAGAATTAGTGCATTAGACCTTGAAAAATTTATAAGATAAGATAAAATAGAATTCTGCGAATTCCACGAATGGTTTTTACATTATGGAAAAATAATTCTTATCGACTTAAAGGGGTTCATGTCCATTTTACTATATTTTTCAGCGTTGTATAGTATGTGTTATTTTATTTTTCAATGTTTGGGATAGTTGTAATAGTAAAGGTGTTCTCGGTCATTTGTGCTAAAAACCTTTTTTTTTTCGATTCAATTTTTCACATTTGATCAATTGTTAAGATTTAAAAAAATAATTGTACTGATGATTTCTTGATTTCATTCACCAATACGGAATTTTTTTATGCATATTCTGCTATGATTCATCAATGTATTTTCAAATGAGAAACACTTCGATTGTTATTTATTTAATTTTTTAACAGGAACTGCTGATCCTTCTGGAATACCTGGGTTCTCCAACGGTTTTTGGTAGAGCGCATGTTGCTTAATTATTGTTTGTTTTTAATAAATTGTAAAATGCGGTTCATATTTTCGTCCTTTTCATTTGGCGATAGTTGTTTTCTGATTTCTTTGACTATTGTTTTCGATTGCCTCCTTGACATTCTCAGCCCTTTATTCGCAGCCAAAAACACTATCCCTGTGAAAATGGTCTTACTGACAAGTACAAACTCTACTGTATATCCGCTCTGACTTGAATATATGAATAGCAGGTGAGTATGATGTATTGCTAGCGAGCAATGTATAGTTTGCCATCAACAAGTTAGTCGCCCTTTATGTGATAAATGTTCGAGGTAAATGAAGTCGATAAAATAAAAGAACTTCCTCAGATTTTTCATTATTTTTTCCAGATTGCTTAAGTATGCGGTTTGAAGAACATTGGAAAAGTGATTTGGATTTCAATTTATATGTCGAAGAGCTGAAAAAACAAAGTATGGTCGAAAGGCAATGGCTAATGCCAATATTACAGTCAAAATTAAACCAGCCAAACAGAGGAATTCTTCTGACAGCTGAAATGGGTTTTGGAAAATCTTCAATTGTATCTAATATTGTATGTGCAAAACAAGACAGTGTTTGGCACCAGCTGAAGAGCCGGGTGTTGGCTTACCATATGTGCAGGTATGATGTAATAAGTTCATCAAAGCCTGATATATTCATTAAAAATTTAGTAGGCATAATTGTAAAAAGTATACCCGAACTTGGGAATTCTATTTTGTCAGATGACCGAGCATTAGATTTTCTTTATGGTGTAAGATGCAGAGAAGACCCTGTTGGTTGTCTAGAATTTTCTCTACTCAATCCACTGAAGAACATATGGAAAGAACGAAGTCATATCATAATTATTGATGCAATTGACGAATGCCAACCTACAGAAGGCCATAGTTTACAGGATTTATTGTACAAGAAAATGACATTTTTTCCTGACAACGTGAAATTTGTTATTACGAGCCGAAATATTGAACAAATCACACACAAATTCAAAATGCTTGACACAATTAGTCTCGATAACTATACACAGGAAAACCTCAAAGATGTTCGTTCATATATTGATAAGACAAGAAAACTTAATGATAAAGACATTACAAAACTGACAAAAGTTTCAGGTGGAAACTTCCTTCATGTAAAATTGTTCTTGAACTACTGCATACAGAAAGGGTCCTGCAATTATGATAACATTCCAGACACTTTAGAGAGAATATATGTTCTAAATTTTGAAAGAGTATTTCGAGAAAAGGGATTGTTTGAGGAGTTTTTGGATATGTTTGCAGTTTTATGTTCTTTGCAACATCCCATTGATGAAGATCAATTGCTAGACGTATCTGGTATGAAAACAAACGCAAAAGTGCGAGCTCGACAAATTTTAGGAAACGAACTTGGACATTTTTTGAAGATTTCTGATGGTAGGCTCTCGTTTCAGCACAAATCGTTGGTTGACTTTCTAACAAATTCTTCTAGAAGGCATTTGAATTTTTATATTGATATTAAGAGAGGCCATAAACTATTTGCAGGATATTTGTTACAATCCTTAAATCTGACAGAAAGCAACAGTTTATTAGAGGTAGTTCATCATGTAGCTTTGGCTAAAGACGTAGATTTTGAAGCTATGCTAATAAATCATGCAAGTGATTTAAATCACGAACAACAGGTAATAAGTTCAGAGATTTTACATAACGTTGTTAGGGAGTATGATTCGTATGACACGGTCAAACTAACGATAAGATTGGTCAGAATAAACGCTTCAAATTTCAATGAAGAGGAATTATCGCTTTCGGCGTTTATAGCAATAGCAAATGAACACGAGGGATCATTCAGAGCATGCATAGAAAATGGCGCAAACATCTCTTACATTCATGATCCATTGTTTTGGTATGCTTCTGGTGACATTTCATATATTTGCAAGTACATATATTTTTGTAAATATAGTCTTTTACATTTAGCAGCTCAAAGGGGATACCTAAAAATTGCAGAAATTTTGATGGAAAACCAGATTTCATTATTATATCTAAACAACTCCTTGGGACTAAATGCCTTTCAGTTGGCTGCTGAACATGGCCATACATCTGTAATGGAATTGTTTCTAAAATATAACAGCACATTAGCAGATTTTTATTCCCTGCACCAGTCGGCACTTCGAGGAGAGTTTAAAGCTGTAAAAATGCTTTTAGATTATGTTGATGATTTGTGCCAGCCATGTTTAGAATTCCCTAATATTCCTAGAATATATAGATCGTATTTACAATACAATTTAACGTCAGAGACGAGTCAAATCAAATATCAAGTGACACATCGATATGAGACGTGGTCTGTAAACTTAGATAATTTGTTTATATGTGAATCCGCTTTGAATGCAGCAGTCAGAAATGGATACCTTGATATTGTGAAACTTCTAATAGCAAAAAGCAATGTTACAGTAAGTTGTCCTACTTTTGATGGATCTATCCCGTTAATGACAGCAGTAGTGTACAACCAAACAGAAATATTCAAGATATTGTATGAAGCAGGATCAAATACATATCAAAGATGCCACAGCTTTCGGAATGCAGACTTGACTATCATGGTTACGTACCCATTGGAAAACGATACTTTTCTCAATGTAAGTGTTACAGATTTTAAACAGTCCTGCCCCCCATTTGCAGGTGTTGAACATTTAATAGCTATTTATGACAATTTGGATATTATACATTTTACAAACGAGAAAGAATATCATTCTTGGTATTCTGGAGACATTGACGGTGTGACGCCATTTCACTATGCGTTCTGTCACAATAGCATTAACTTCATGAACTATATTATATTAAGAAATAATTTTGTATTTCCGATTGCAGATATGAAATCACACAATGGCTCTTCGCCTTTCCATTCTGCTGCTATTTGTAAATCTACTGCGCTATTTCATTACCTTAACCCCAACAAAAACAATCAGTACAACAAAATTCCTGACGTAATTGATAACGAAAACCGCTCCATTCTTCAGTATGCCTTTTTACAACCGTTACATGGTGAGGACTTAGTGAAATTAGATTATATAGGTCATGATGCTTTTACATCATCGATGTTACATGTAATTGAAGTTTCAAATCATAACGCTCTACACAAGGATATTTATGGCAGAAACTTTTTACATTATGCAAGCTCAAGTGGAAATTATTTTGCATTTGTACTTGTTAAAAATTCAAAAGTTATTGGGTCCATGTTTGAGGAGTTGGTGCAACAAAAAGACATATATGGAAAAACTTCTTTCGAAAGAGCATTCGAAGCCATGCCAGAGCATAATTTGTTTGAACCGTTTAGAATGCCTGATAATTGCAGCTTGGATGGTATATTTTCATCTTCGTGTAAGACAAACCTTTCAGTCCTACTTTCACCCCATGAGTATGTTATATTATATTTATCACGGTATTTCTATTCTCAAAAAAAATTTCCTGATGTTAATGTTACAGACCTATTAACTACGTCTATAAAAAAGTCGAGAATTTATCCCATTCTTACTTTAAAAGCATATGCCAGTAACGAATTCAATACCGCGGTGTCTAATCCCGTTATTTCAAGCATGATTTCGGAATCTCCGACACCATTTCTTGCCGAACACATGCTGGATATTTACAGTTCCTCATTTTGCAACGGAGGTAATAGTCCTTTACACATAGTAGTACAGAATGAAAGAAATAGACAATGGACGTTTGCTTCCTATTCGTTCCTGGACCGTTTATTTGTCAAGTTTTCTAGTATTTATTTGGATAACTGTTATGACAAAGACGGGTACAATTTACTTCACAAATCTGTCATCGGCGGACATCCAAAAGCGGTTAAGTATTTACTAGAAAACGGAATGAATGTATTACAGAAGACAAAAGCTAATCAAAGCGCTTTAACTCTTTCTATCCTGTTGGCGCCTTATACCAGAAACGGATCTATTCCATCGTACTATTATACAAACCATTCTAAATTTCATTCCTATAAGTTAGTTAACCAAACAGAAACTGCAGACATTCTATTTGATCATAACGGAACTATAAGCTTTGACGATATAGCGTCGATACTTCTAACGCATTTAGAAAAATTACAGTTCAATCGCACAAAACTTAAACTCGTCATTTGTCCATATCACATTGACGATTTTGGATTAATGCATATTGCATCGGCAAAAGGAATGGTTTCCTTTATGAAATCTTCAAAGAAATTGTTCGGTGATGATGTTTTGAGATGTCGCGATATGTATGGAGTTACACCAATATATCTTGCTTATATATATCGTCAAACCAATATTGTAGAGTGGCTTGAAAAAATGAATTGTACTTTTCATCGTCCTAATAGAGCGAGTGAGACTATATTAATTTACAATTTAATTGAAAACTACGAATTATCCTTGCCATATAAATGGCGATGTTTCACTAATTTTGGACAAGGCTTCAATGAGTTGAGGAGAAATCAGATTTTAAAATGCACAGGACAAGATCTTCGTTTACACAGTACTTTTCAAAATCCGATTAAAAGAGTTGTATACAAAATTCTGCAGGATAAAATGTCAGCTAGTTTAGGCGAAAACTATTGGCAGTGGTTAAAATTTGAAAACTACCATTTGTTCCTTTTAAATTACCATTGGAAGAAAAAGTCGCACAATCAAGTTTATTACTTATACAGACTTCTTCTCTTATTTGGTTTTGATGACAGACGTTATCTATTTCAACTATTATATTCTCGGCGTACTTCTGAAAAAAGAACACGTTTCGACCCTATATCGGATTTGACAGTTAAAACCCTTTTCGATTCAATCTTAAGCAAAAAGTACGAACATTTTAGAAAATTAAAGATGGAAACGGATTTACATTCGAGCTGGTTATCTAATGAAAAACACGCTGAACTTAGAGAGGATTTTCAATATGTCTTGTACAGTAATTATGAAGTTGAACATTTCAATACAATTCTCCAACAGTGGGATGAAGTGAGTGATGCCGAAATAATATTAAAAGACAAAGCAAATAGGAATTGCAATAATTGCCAGTATTCTTTAGCAATGTGTTTTGTTAACACTGCAATTCAAAAACTATCCTACATAAAAAGTTACGAGCAATTAAATAGAGAAGCCATGAAATTCATACCAGAGTGCAATTATGTTTGTTCTCTTAGCTTGAGAATGTTATATCATAGCATGAATAATACGTTTAAGTTCATTGCAGACTTAAAAACACCCGATAAAAACGAATTTAAATCATTGGTAATTGAACTTGAATTGCGAATTAAAAGAACTGTAAAGATGATAGATTCGTTTCCAGAAACAGAAAACGCAAACATACAGCCCTTTGAGTTATTTTATTGTTCGCCTGTATTCCATGGCTTTATGAGCAATATAAATGATTTAGAAATGTATAATATGATAAAATGCACGAAATTGTATGCCAATAACGAACATTTAAAAATCTTTAGAAAGTTTCTAATTACAATGCTACAAGCTGTAGAACGTGAATTTGAATATGATTATCACATATAAAACATAAATTATCATTTTTAGCATGATAACAATAACCTTTGTGTAGTAGTTACAGTTAAATATTGTTTAAAAATTTCGAGATTGGCTTTATTTGATTTTATTGAATCAGCCTGCAGTCCTTTCCAACAAGTATTTTCGAAGGCAAACAAGTTACTCCTGCCAAGATACTCCAAGGGACACAAAATATAACTGTAAACATAGAAAAGCTTTCGGAAACTACTTTCGTTTAGGGGCTATATATTTTAAAGTGTTATCCGAAAACACAACAAAATACAACATCCAAATAATTAACAAAAACAAAATTGTCCGACTAGTTTTAATGGCAATCTTTTTTCGAATAACTGTTGTTTTTTTTTTTTATAAATGCATGCACCACTTTCGACAATTGTGTACAGTTTATTGTTTTATTTTTAATATTTTAACAAAACTGTTTGCAATATATTAAGTTAACCGCTTGGAATGTTGTGAAAAATGATCCATTGCCTATAATATTATGGAAATTCAAGCGACAGGGTAAATGTATATTTCAGCTATATTTCTTTTCAAAACCAAAGAAGTATATGTAGAGAATACTATATTTTTCTATTTTTAATCAGTATGCATTGTACATTCAAGAATTTACGCTTTTCATATTACAGTTGCAAAATATGGTTTTGTGTCCGAATGTTTTTCTATCATGTGAAGCATATGTTGATCCCTAGATATGTGTTAATTCCTTTTCGTTGGGTTGCTATCGAAACCATTTTTGTTTTCAGCATTTCTGAATAAAGTTTGATTTAATAGATTCGATTCAGTTATTGCGTATTTCAAATACAATTAGCTTTGTAGAAGTTTATTTTCTGGTGAACCAAATTTCTGCAACCTATACAAATTTGTGCATCATAATATGTTTTGGGAAACGGCTTCGTCTACAACATTAGTCTGTCACAAGAGACACACTGTTGTTGTTTTTTGTTAGAAGACCTAATTATTCATATCCTCTAAACATATTACTTATGTTCTGAAGTTTCTGTCTGCCATATGTCCGTCGTCCTTGGTCTCATTTTCATAATTATGGTGCAACGACTAGTTAGATTATGGTTTATATGTCAACAATTTTTGGTATTTAGAATCGTTGCAAAGTATACATGCCGGTCTGCTAGGGCGTATCTGACCTTGTTAAACATTACATTTTCGTGGTTATGATATTTTCTCCGATACTTCAAGCAAAATGTTAACTATATTTGGTTCTTGGAAAGATTGTAAGATGTGCATGTTCGTCTGACAGGGTCCATCTGACATTGACCTCATTTTCATGGTTCATTGGTGAACGTTAAGTTTTCGTAATTAGGTATATTTTTCCGATACTTTAAGCGGTCAAGTGTGTTTGTTGTATGAAATACATGTCCGTCTATATTCATCCGACCTTGAACTCATTTTCTTGAATCATGGATAATGTTAAAATGAATCATTTATAATGTTAAATGAATCATTGATAATGTTAAATGTATGTGATAAATATTTTATTTTGATAGCCTAGTCTTTGTCTTAGTTTTAAAGGTCAAGCATTTTTCATATCTTTAACAAGGATTTTTTCACATCTTTAACAAGGAATTTTTATTCAATTTAGATATATATTTATTTCTGTTTTAGAAGTCAACTGATAACTTTTTATAAAGAATTTCTAAAAGAGTATTTTATATGATTTTTAACAACATTTTATATTTAATAGTATTTTTGAAAACGAGTTTTTAGAATAAATTAATTAGATTTTTAACTCTAGAAATATTTTGCAAATTAACATACAGTTTATTGTATATATATGTACATGTGTCTCATAAGTCAATTGTTTGGCTGGGCATTGATTGCATTTAAAAGATATTGCTTTTTATTTGTATATATTTACTGTATCAATCAATGTGTGACACTCAAATAAAATGGATTTATTATTATTATTATTATTATTATTGATACCTGTAGTAATCTTTTGATCTTAAAGACTTGAACATAAAATTCAATCATGATAAGTAAATCAGGCGAGACATTTCAACGAGTGTCCTTTTTTGTAGGATTTTGATTGGTTTTTCTTTCTATCAATAACTTTATAATATATTTTTTACAAAGTTACAATTTGTAAAATGACTTATATTATACGATCCCGTGTTATACGAGGGTGTATTTGGGTCCTACCGCTGAACTTTTTTTTTTAATTTTTAAGTTGGATTACATGCGCAATTTCTTTAAGCTTTTGTTGCTTTAGAGCTGTTAGTATCTAGCTACTAGGCACAAAAGTTGAAATTTGAAGTGACGATATTTTCATTACTAAAAACTTTTACGTCAGAGATATTGATTTCATCTACGGGTCAAAATGTTAATTGAATTGCAAATATCGAGGCTAGATGGGTGAAGTATCATTCTTGTTGCAGGAATAAAACAAAAAGGGGTATTTCATGTCCAGCTTTTTACTTCAATGTAACCAAGAAACTGGTTACTGGAATGACAATGGGTACTGAGTAATATACATGGCGGAGATTGACATGGCTATTTAACAACTTTGTTTGATTGAATTTAATGCCATTTCAAAAGTGTCCATTTTAAAATGATGATACTCTACTTGTTCTTTTATCTTTTTTTGAATCTAGTATCATCCGATATTCTCCGTTCATTTTAGGTCTCACAAAAATGGTGAAATTTGAATTTCTGCATGATAATTCTAGTATTTACTTGCATACAGTACTGGTGGAATTACTGCAAGCACCATCAATGTCCTCAGCCGAGGCCATCCATCATCATGTGTGTCGACCCCTAGTTCGGTAAACTCTCAGGATGGGAGGGTCCAAATTGGTGATCAATCACTGCGCATCGGTGGTGGGTTTCCAGCTACTACTGTCTCTCTTCATCCATATCCAGCAAGACGCTTTCTCTACTGCTTGGTCCATTTTCTGAAAAGCTGTTCGTCTTTGTCGACCCGTCACTCCTACTGCAGAAAATAACCTCCACACTGACTGTGCATCAAGGCCTCTGCAGCCAACCTCAACAGGAAAGCTCCATGTCTGCCATAATCATCTATATCTGCACTCTGCCAACAGTCCATCATACTTTGCCCTCTTTCTTTCAATGGCTTCGCCACATCGGTCCTCCAAGAGAACCGCCAACTCTATAATTGCTACTTTCTTACTGCCTGAAGACCAGAGAACAATGTCGGGCCTTAGGTTAGTTGATACAACATCAGGAAACTGCAGATCCTTTCCTAGATCTACTTTTAGTGCCAGCCAGGTTTAACATTCCTGACGCGCTTTGTTTACCTTTCTGACATTGTTCCCTCTCCTTCACAAACTGCATCTTGGTAGGTTTGTTTCATATGTGTTTTGCTTCTTTCCTCTTTTTTTTCTATCACTTCAGCAAGTTCCCGTAGTACTTGATTGTATCGCCAAGTATATCTTCCTTGTGTTAGAGCGATATTGCATCCTGAATGTACATGTAGAGTTCCTCTGTTTCCGCACAAGGGGCAATCTGGTGTTTCTGAAAGGTTCCACCTGTGCAGATTTGTAGGTGTTGGTAACACATCGTACACGTTTCTCAGAAGAGCCTCCCTCATGTCAACGCACAATCGGATTTCCTCCGGATTCTTCTTAGGTGGTGTGACAATGTGTGATACCCAGGGTGTCGGCGTGTTTCCTATTTGTTTCTATGATGTCCTGATCCAGCAGTTTGTTAATCTCTTTTTCTACCTTTGGCCACAGGTGAAAAGCGGTTTTCCTATTTATCTGTGCAACGGGTCGAACATAAGTGTCAATGTGTAGTTTTACTGACCCTCCTTTGTATTTTCCTATTTCATCTCTGAAAACATCAGGATATCTCAGTTTAGGAGCTTGTATGCTAATCGGCTGAATAATTTTAACAAGTCCTAGTTGTGATGCTGTCAGATAGCCAATCAACGCACCGTGTCCACCTTTAACAACATAAAACTTGTGAACACCATATTTGTCTTTTGTTTCGACTTGTAACTCGCATGCTCCTGTGACTTCAAGGGGTTTGCCACCTCCATAAGGCAAAAGTGTTGTGTCATTTTTGTTTAGTTTTGGAGAACCAATGTTTTGGTGTGTCTTATCATCTAGAATATTGACTGTAGCACCAGTATCTATCATCATTTTGCATGTTTTTGTATTTACTTTAATTGTAGCATATGGTGATTTCTTCACTGAACAAACTGTCTCAGCTTCTTTTATACTGTAGGAATACTCCTCATCAGAACTGTCTAAACTTTCTTGTTATGTCTCTCTTTCAGTATTTTGAGTTTGAATTTCATTTACGTGGCTATTTTTTTTTTGTTTTGTCTATTTGTACCGGTATATCTATTTTGTTTTCCACGACAAACTTTGGTGAAGTGGTTTTGTTTGTGGCATGCATTGCATGTTTTACCATGTGCTGGACACTGTCCATTTCTATGGGGATATTGCCCCCCCCCCCCCCACACACACACAATTTCTGCATTTTGTCTGTCTTGAGTGGCTGGGGTAATTTGGGCCGGACGTTTGTTGTCCTTTTCTGTTTTTATAGTCTGTTTTGGAATTTGTTCTGTTTGTATTTGTAACTTTATTTACAGATTCCCTCTCCATTTCGGTTGCTTGTAAATCAGCCATTTCAAGAGTCTTACCAAGTGTTAGAATTTCATTTAATGTTTTATCAGGCTCTCTCAGAGCTCTCCTGCCATATCTGTTAGACTTGCAATTTTGAATTACCTGTGATAGGATTTCATTGTCTACACTTGTAAATTCACATGTTTTGGCTAATTTTCTAAGTTCGGTTACAAATTCATCAAGTGACTGCCCTTCTTTTTGTTTATGTGAACGGAATTTTTACACCTCAATTTGTGTATTTTTCTTTGGTTCAAAGTAAGTAGTTAACACCTGTTTTGTTGCCACGTATGAAGCCTCAGTTGCTCCTTTCTCGGCATCATATACATTTTTCAATCAAGATACTCTAATAATAATTGTGGCTAAGTTTAATTCCATTTGGCCAAGTCGATTAAGAGAAGATTTTTGTAACAGATTACAATAAAATGCTCCGCAGGGCGCAGCTTGATACGACCGCAGAGGTCGAACCCTGAACAGTTGGGGGAAGTATGGACACAACATTCAAGCTTGATACAGCTTTGGATTTGGATTGTGATTAAATATTTGACACAGCATAGGTTTCTAACACAGATTGAATGTGGTCTAAGAACTTAAAAATTTTAAATTGGACATTCACCTATTATGGTCCAATATCCAAAATCTAAATACATGGTTAGATTCAGCATATCAAAGAACCCCAAGAATTCAATTTTTGATGAAATCAAACAAAGTTTAATTTTGGACCCTTTTGACCTCAATGTGGACAAAGTTGATAACGGGGCCCAAAAATCAAAAATCTAAATACATGGTTAGATTCAGCATATCAAAGAACCCCATATATTCAATTTTTGTTGAAATCAAACAAAGTTTAATTTTGGACCCAGATTTGGACCAACTTGAAAACTGGGCCCATAATCAAAAATCTAAATACATGTTTAGATTCAGCATATCAAAGAACCCTAAGAATTCAATTTTTGTTAAAATCAAACTAAGTTTAATTTTGGACCCTTTGGACCTTAATGTAGACCAATTTGAAAACGGAACCAAAAATTAAGAATCTAAATACACGGTTAGATTCGGCATATCAAAGAACCCCAATAATTCAATTTTTGATGAAATCAAACAAAGTTTAATTTTGGACCCTTTTGACCTCAATGTGGACAAAGTTGATAACGGGGCCCAAAAATCAAAAATCTAAATACATGGTTAGATTCAGCATATCAAAGAACCCCATATATTCAATTTTTGTTGAAATCAAACAAAGTTTAATTTTGGACCCCCGATTTGGACCAACTTGAAAAATGGGCCCATAATCAAAAATCTAAATACATGTTTAGATTCAGCATATCAAAGAACCCTAAGAATTCAATTTTTGTTAAAATCAAACTAAGTTTAATTTTGGACCCTTTGGACCTTAATGTAGACCAATTTGAAAACGGAACCAAAATTTAAGAATCTAAATACACAGTTAGATTCGGCATATCAAAGAACCCCAATAATTCAATTTTTGATGAAATCAAACAAAGTTTAATTTTGGACCCTTTGGACCTCAATGTGGACCAATTTAAAAACGGGGCCCAAAATCCAAAAACTAAATACACGGTTAGATTCAGCATATTAAAGATCCCCATGAAATCAAGAATAAAACCCCATTGAAATTGGTCAAGAAATAAGCAATTTATAGGAAGTATCTTCTTTTGCACAATCCTGTGCTATTAAATATTTCTTGCTATTGCGCAATACTGTACAATTGACAATTTCTTGCTATTGCGCAATATTGTGCTATTGGATATTTCTTGCTATTGCGCAATACTGTGCAATTGAAGATTTCTTGCTATTGCGCAATACTGTGCAATTGAAGATTTCTTGCTATTGTGCAATACTGTGCAATTGAAAATTTCTTGCTATTGCACAATACTTATTATATAATAATTTACACATCCTGTTTGGTGTGTATCTCCTACCATATCATTTTTATTTGATTTTAATATAAATCAGAAATAACCAACTTAAAATGGAATATTTTAAAAGAAACAAAAAAGGAAAAAAAGAAAAAAAAGGAAAAAAAAATAAATCCCCCCCAAAATTTTTTGAACCCCCATTATGATTCATCACCCCCAAACTCAATCCCAGCCTTCCCTTTGTGGTATGGTACCTTGCAGTACAATTTCAGAGAGATCCATACACTTGAACACAAGTTATTGTCTGGAAACTAGAAAAAAATGTGTTTTTTGGCCCCTTTTTGGCCCCAAATTCCTAAACGTTTAGGGCAATTACCCCCAAACTCAAACCCAGCTTTCCCTTTGTGATATGGAACCTTGTAGTACAATTTCAGAAAGATCCATACACTTACACACAAGTTATTGTCATGAAACTAGAAAAATGCTTGTTTTTTGCCCCTTTTTTGGCCCCTAATTCCTAAAATTTGGAGGCAATTACCCCCAAAATCAATCCCAGCATTCCTTTAGTGATATGGAACCTTGTGGTACAATGTCAGAGAGATCCATACACTAACACACAAGTTATGTCTGGAAGTTACAAAAATGCTTATTTTTGGCCCCTTTTTGGCCCCTAATTCCTTTACTGTTATTACCATAACCCCCAAAATCAATCCCAACCTTCCTTTTGTGGTATTGAACCTTGTGGTAAAATTTCATAAAGATCCATTAACTTAAACTAAAGTTAGAGTGCGAAAACCAATGTGTCTTCGGACGATGCTGGACGACGCCGGACGACGACGACAACGACGACGCCGGACGACGACGACGCCAACGTCATACCAATATACGACCACAAAAATTTTTTTGCGGTCGTATAAAAATTTACGAAAAATTGTGTGAAAAATTTACTTTAAAGGGCAATAACTCCTTAAGGGGTCAATTGACAATTTTGATCATGTTGACTCATTTGAAGATCTTACTCTGCTGAACATTTTTGCTGTTTACAGTTTATCTCTATCTACTATAATATTCAAGATAACAAGAGGCTCTCAAGAGCCTGAATCGCTCACCTGCAATTTCTTGCTTAAATCTTTCATCAATGATTATTTTTGCTTTTCAATATATATTAATGAGTGGCTTACAAATGCTATTTAAATGTTCTTTGTATCTGTCATATTTTCTTCAAAAGCAAAAAAATGCATTTTACCCCTATGTTCTATTTTAGCCATAGTGGCCATGTTTCTTGACGTACAAGGAAATAAAATACAAAATTTATACTAGATACTCTGAAACTCATTCAGCCTAAGTTTGGCTGAAATTGATTCAGCAGTTTCAAAGGAGAAGATTTTTTTAAAGTAAGCAAACTAGATGAACAAATTGTGAAAAATTGTTTTTAATGGACAATAACTCCTTAAGGGGTCAATTGACAATTTTGGTCATATAAAACTTATTTGTAGATCTTACTTTGCTGAAAATTTTTGCTGTTTACAGTTTATCTTTTAAATTATCTATAATAATATTCAAAGATAATAACCGAAAACTGCAAAATTTCCTTAAAATCATCAATTTAGGGGCAATAACCTAAAAATCAGATACCCAATTTGGCTGATAATTTCAGAGCAGGTAGACCTTGACCTAATGAATACTTGAACTTCTTGTCTTATTTGCTCTAAATGCTTTAGTTTTTGAGATACAAGTCAAAAACTGCATTTTACCCTATGTTCTATTTTTAGCCATGGCGGCCATGTTTTCTGATGAAACAAAAAATTAAAAACCCACTTTATTCTAGATACCCTAAGGATCATTCAGCTTAAGTTTGGTTGGAATTGGTTCAGTAGTTTCAGAGAAGATGTTTGAAATAGTTTTCACCGGACAGACAACGATGATGGACGCCAAGTGATGGCAAAAGCTCACATTTCCTTTGGAAAGGTGAGCTAATAACCAAAAACTGCAAAATTTCCTTAAAATTACCAATTCAGGGGCAGCAACCCCTTCGTCTGAAGGCCAGATAGATTTTGACCTGATGAATATTTTTATCCCATGTCAGATTTGCTCTTAATGCTTTAGTTTCAGAGATATAAGCCAAAAACTGCATTTTACCCCCATGTTCTATTTTTAGCTATGACGGCCATCTTGGTTGGTGGACGGAATCATTGGATATATTTTTAAAACTAAATACCCTAAGGATGATTTAGGCCAAGTTTGGTTTAATTTGGCCCAGATTTTTGTAAAAGTTAACGACGACGGACGCCAAGTGATGAGAAAAGCTACTCAATTTGGATTCACTTCAAGTATCATATACTGTGTTTGAGGATTCACTAAAATACTTTTATAATGGCAAGATATTAAATCAACTTGAGCATGTTAAATCTTATAATACAGGTTAAGTCAGATTTTATAGTAAAATTTGCTCATCATTTGATTTAAAAGGTTACCTAAGCTTTGATACATCAAATTATGAGAGATCACTTCTCACAAATATCAGAATTAGAGCACATTCACTTGCCATTGAAACTGGGAAATACATTAAACCAAAAACTTTAGCAATGGAAAGATTCTGCAAATCTTGCGGAGATAAAATAGAAGATGAAGTGCATTTCCTTTTATATTGTCCCCTTAATAAAAACCTTCAAGAGAAGTTCAGTATTTTCGAAACTTTGATAAAAGATAATGATATCAAATCAGTAATATATTTACTTAACCCAAATAATTTGGCTAATGCCAAACAAATATGTAATTATTTGAAACAAGCTTTTGAAGTTCATAACACTTAAGTGCCAGTTGGTCTACCATAAGGTATAGAAGTACTATACAAAACTAGAGGCTCTAAAGAGCCTGTGTCACTCACCTAGATGTATGTGCATATTCAACAATGGACGCTCTCCAACATTGTGGACTAGAATAGAATTCATGTCAAAATTTGTTATTTTTGTTGATCTTGTATTAATGATAATTTTTTCTGTTTACAGTTTCTCTCTATCTATTTTAATTTTTTTCCCAAACACAAAAAAGGGTAAAAAAATTGTCATTTAAGGGAAATCACTCATATAGATAGTCTACTAATGATTTCGGTACTCACTTGATTAATTTGCAGATCTTGTCTTGCTGGTCATTTTTTGTATTCAAAGTGTCTATCTATCATTTATAGTTTTCAAGATAATAGGCAAAAACATAAAATATTGGTAAAACTCGTCATTAAAGAGCAATTACTCCAATAAGGAGTAAACTGCCGATTTCGGCCAGTAGACTTAATTGAGATCTTGTCTTGCTGATCATTTTTGCTTTTTCAAGTTTCTATCTATCCATTATAGTTTCAGATAGGCAAGAAACACAAAAAGTTGGTAAAAATCATCATAAAAGGGCAGTAGCTCCAATAAGGGACTGACTGACGATTTCAACAATGAAACTTATTTGCAGATCTTGTCTTGTTGATAATTTTTGCTTATTTAAGTTTCTATCTATCTATTTCAGTTTTTCAGATCTTAGGCAAAACCGCAAAAAAATTGATATAAATCGTCATTAAAGGGCTATAACTCAAATAAGGATTTATTGTTAGGCTTTTTCGACCATGTTGACTTCTTTGATCATTTTAGCTGTTTAAAAGTTTCTCTCTATCTATTATCATTTTCAAGAAAATAGGCAAACATGAAAATAAAATTGTAAAATTCGTTAGGGGCAATAACTCCTGTAAGAAGTCATCTGACAGTTTTGATGTAAATAAGCAATAAGTAGATCTCATCATTTTTAACATTTTTGCAAATGTCAGATTTTCTCAATCTATATTGGTTTTCATAATAATAGACAAAACTTGGATTTACTCCTAAGTTCTATTTTTAGCCATGTTGGCCATCTTGGTTGGCAGGAGGGGTCATCAGACACATTTTTTAAACTAGATACCCTAATGATGGTTGTGGCAAAGTCTGTTCAATTTGGTCTAGTAGTTACATAGAAGATGAATTTTGTAAGCCTAACAATGACAGACGATGATGACAACGGACAACGACGGGCGTCAAGTGATGAAAAAAGCTCACTTGGCCCTCTGGGCCAGGTGAGCTAAAAATAGACTTGTAGTTATATATATATATAGCACATTATTCATTGTTATCAATTTTCTCTTGTTATGTATTATGTTTAATTAACATTATTTGTCATGTTGTATAGGTCATGTATGTTGTACACTTGGATTACGCAATGTCATATTTATCCTTATGTGCTTTATGCAATAAAATATTTAAATTTGAATAAAAAACGCAGTATAGTTAGGCTGTCTACATTAACACACAATGAAGAAAATCTTTTTATGAAAGGTTTAGGATATACAAATCTAGGAGGTGAAGTATTCACAAGTGTCTTAATGCTACAATAGGCCATAAATGGCCAAAGTCTTTTAACTTCTGCAAACATTTTCAATTTAAAAGGGCCAAATAGAATGGTCAACTACACATGATGCTTACAATCTTACCTAGCAAGCTTTCAGGCAAATAGTCTCGGAGAAGAAGTGTTCACAGAGTGTTACAGACAGACTGACTGATGGAGGAATAGACACATTAAGACAATTTACTTCTGTCACAGTGAGGCAGGGTACAAGTAGAAATGAAACTATAAAGAATTATATTGAATTTTATTACATTATTCAGATTTTTCAACGATACATTTTTCAAAAATAGTTTTCAAAACTATTTCAATATACTTATTTCATTATATTTCCTTCTCTTTCATTGTTTCATTTGATACATTTCAATACATAATCATTTTTTGTCTCAATATGTATACCATACCTAGTATGATATTTAGTGCATTATATTTAATGTTTGACTTTAGGTTTCATGGGGATCATCTCTCATCTCTGCTCTTTCTCCAGATTACTGCTTAGAATTCTGGAAGTTTGCCTTCATTTTCTACATGATAAATAATATCAGCTAGAGCATACTCTATCATTGTCTGGGAGGCTGCATCGGACATCTGTAATAATAACATATACATATTTGAATATTAATATAAAAACAAAGACATGCGTTCTGATTGTCAACTCTGTTTATAATTTGATTTTAAGAATTGTCGTTTCCACTACTCTCATTCTTTGTTAAAAACTGAATAAGTGGATAAGTAAAAAGATTTTTTCTCAGAAGTAAACATAATATGGTGGAAAGCTGTCTCATTGACAATCATACCATATCTCCTTATTTTTATATAAGATAAATCAAGCTAAGCCTTATAAGGAGAGATAACTCAAAAAATTTAAATTAAGAAGGAATGTACAATAAATTTTTCTATTTTGTTATAGCAAGAAAAAACCCAAGTAAACCTCATTTCCAACCAGACCAATACCGTGTCTAAACCTGTATTGCTGCATGCAATTGATTGAGGTAACAAGTATATTGAAGCATAACTGATCATTCCCTAAAATCAATGGAGCCAAGAAAAGTTTGACAAAAATTTTCCTTGTACAATGAGTGTTACAAAATTTCAAACTATCTGCAAACAGGAATTGGCTGTAGGGCTGATGTAATCATGCATCATCTGTGCTGTGATCCAGCCAATTTTGTAGCTAGTCAGATCTCTATTTCAACAATTTTTTTGTGATTTTTATTTCAATAAACCTACTACAAAAATTTTATTCTATTGCCCAAAGATGGAGAATTTCTCATACTGATTCAAATTCTTTTGATATTTGTATTTTAGAAGGACACAGAATATTTACATTTTCTTTTTTTTTATAATCAATTTTTAATTTAATGATTTACCGTAATCAAGAATAGAATTGGAAATCTTTAAAGGTGTAGCATATTTTTTATTGGAATTGACTGAATAATTTCCAGAAAGAGGCCTTTAAAATGTTAATTTTTATTTAAATTGGTGTTCATTCTTCATTGAGAAAAAAATACATTTCCTGTATTAAAAATAAACAACAACATTTCCTGTATTAAATAAAAGAAAATATACATGTACAAATACCTTTTACTGTTAAATAGCTATATAATGGGGAACAGTCATAAAAACTTTTAATCTTTATTGCAGAAAATGCTTAGGTTAGAGTTATGTAATTTTGTTAAATTACTGATAATTTAACTTAAATTAACCAAAATAATGGACTCATATCAGATGATGGTGAAACTGCTTTTACAAGTGAAACAGGATCTGCTTGCATTTTAATTATACATATTTTATTTTTGTCTTTCTTTCAAAAAAATAGCATTTGAATAAAAAGTGTGGGAATTAACTTTGATATCAATACACATCTTGTACCAAATTTTATTTAATAACTTACACATGCATAAGATACTGATAAAATACTTTAATAATTCTTAACAAATGCTTAAATTTGATGCATCACTTTTTCACTTTAATTCATAAATAGTAATATATTATATATTTTGATTTACAATGAACTATATGCAAGTGTATATATAAAATTTAGTAGCTGTTTCACCTCTCTTTTCTTATTGATTTAAGGTATAGAACCACTTATTCGGGCCCCACCAGTCAGAAAGAACATACAAGAAAGTAGAACATACTTTAAACAAAATAGTTCCTACTCATAGCTTTAACTTTGTCAATAAGTAAAATATTTGGGTAAATTTGGTATCAAATGAAAGCTTAAGGACTTGGGATCACTGTAGGACCCTTGTTGAAAGTTTATTTTGAATAATAGAAAACAGATGAAATTATAACAGGAGGGCACATTTGCCCTGTTGTTCAGATAGGAAGTACCTGTTTTTGTACAAACAAACTTCCGGGAACCAGTGCGTTCTATTATGCAATTAAAGGTATGTTGAATTTTTCAGCACTAGTCAGGATAAGGTATAGTTTTGACATGAAATGACTGCCACTTTATTTGAACTTAAGACGAAGTAGCCATTAATTAGTAGTTTTATTCCTTATGGGCAAATAACATGTCAAAAGTTGGCAGTAGATGATTAAAATGATGTATAAACGTTCTGCAAGTCATGAAACACATCATTAGGTTCATGATATGTCCTCAACTCAGAATTCTGCACCATCATAAAATCTGGGGTGACTACATAGATCTAGCATGGCTGGATAAAAAACTGCTAACACACTACAACTCAACACTATCAAGCTGCAGACCAAATGTAAAATAATTCCCTTTCATAGCAGCCTAGAAGACAATGAAGAAAGTTTTCTACCAATGGTCTTTCAGACAAGCGACAGACGGATAGAGTGGAAGGGTTACATAATGTGCTTTTGCTTTTGGCAATGCAGGTAAAAATAAATTCTGTATATTAAATAAGAGGCTATCTTCTGGTATTTTTGTTCAAAATTCTCACACTTAATTTTCTTTTCTATTCACATAAAAATGGTTTTTCTCTGTTTAATCCTTACAAATTATTGCTAGAAAATCGAGCTTGGTGACCTATAGTTTTCATTATATTTATCGACATATCATGATATAAAATGGTCCCTGCTGCTAGGCGAAGGGGTATTAAGTGTTCCCTTGACTGTCCATCCTTCTGTCCATCCCATTTTCGTTTCCGCACTCGTTTAATTTAAAAAAAAAATTTAAAATTCTATGAGAGTTATTGATATCTTGAAAATTAAACCACATACTACATATAAATGTCATCAGCTAAGAAAAACTAAGTCAAATTATCAGTAGAATTCAAAATTGCTAGTTTTTGATCGAGAAGTGCTTTTGTCCAAGTTTTGTAAAATTCTGTGAATTACATGTGTCTCATCCTAGCGTAGAAAAGACATCTCAGTTCTTTAAGGGCTAAGGAAAATATATTATTTTGCCTTTGGTATAATTCAGGGTGCACTAAGTCTCAAATAATAACTAGAGGCTCTCAAGAGCCTGTGTCGCTCACCTGTATTTACTGATGCTTTGGAAATCATGTAAAATAAGGTTAAAACAAGAGTGCACACACTGAAATGTCTTGCCTTCTTTACTAACCATTGATTTTATGTTGATAGTCCTAAATACAAAGCTCTACTACAAGTAACACATAAACTTAACATGATCCAAGAAAATGAGGTCAAGGTCAGATAAACCAAACGAGAAATACATGTACACCTTACAATCATTCAATAAACTAAACATAGTTGACCTATTGCTTATTGTTTCTAAGAAACAGTCTTAAACAAGAAAACCTAACATTGACCAATGAACCATGAAAATGAGGTCAAGGTCAGATGAACCATGCCTGACAGACATGTACACCTTACAATCAATTTAGGCATTAAATATGGTTGACCTATTGCTTATAGTATCTAAGAAACAAACTTAACCATGAAAACTAAACATTGACCAATGAACCATAAAAATGAGGTCAAAGTCAGATGATACCTGCCAGACAGACATATACACCTTACAATCCTTCCATACATCAAATATAGTTGATCTATTGCTTATAAGTGAAGAAAAACAGACCAAAACACAAAAAACTTAACACTGAGAAATGAACCGTGAAAATGAGATCAAGGTCAAATAAAACCTGTGAGACTGACATGTACATCATAAAATATTTCCATACACCATTTATAGTTGACCTATTGCATATAGTATTAGAAAAAAAGACCAAAACTCAAAAACTTAACTTTGACCACTGAACCATGAAAATGAGGTCAAGGTCAGATGACACTTACCAGTTGGACATGTACACCATACAATCATTCCATATACCAAATATGGTAGACCTACTGCTTATAGTGTCTGATATATGGACTTGACCACGAAAACTTAACCTTGTTCACTGATCCATGAAATGAGGTGGAGGTCAAATGAAATTTGTCTGACGGGCAATAGGACCTTGCAAGGTACGCACATACTAAATATAGTTATCCTATTACTCATAATAAGAAGGAAATTAACATTACAAAAAATGTGGACTTTTTTTTCAAGTAGTCACTGAACCATGAAAATGAGGTCAAGGACAATGGACATATGACAGACAGAAACTTCGTAACATAAGGCATCTATATACAAAGTATGAAGCATCCAGGTCTTCTAGCTTCTAAAATATAAAGCTTTTAAGAAGTTAGCTAACGCCGCCGCCGCCAGATCACTATCCCTATGTTGAGCTTTCTGCGACAAAAGTCGCAGACTCGACAATCATAATTAATAGTATAAGATATAAGATATTATAATGATATCTAAGATAATAACAAATAAAATGCTCCGCTGGGTGCAGCTTGATATGACCACAGAGGTCGAACCCTGAACAGTTGGGGCAAGTATGGACACAACATTCAAGCTTGATACAGCACTGAATTTGGATTGTGATTAAATATTTGACACAGCATAGGTTTCTGACACAGAATGAATGTGGTCTAAGAACTTAAAATTTTTTAATTTACCTATTCAAATAATATCATTATTATTTGCTTTTATATATAAATCAGAAATAACCAATTTAGAATGGAAAATTTTAAAGAAAAAAATCGCCTCCCCAAATTTTTTGAACCCCCTTATGATTCATCACCCCCAAACTCAATCACAGCCTTCCCTTTGTGGTATGGTACCTTGCAGTACAATTTCAGAGAGATCCATACACTTGAACACAAGTTATTGTCTGGATACTAGAAAAATGCTTGTTTTTTGGCCCCTTTTTGGCCCCAAATTCCTAAACATTTAGGGCAATTACCCCCAAACTCAAACCCAGCTTTCCCTTTGTGATATGGAACCTTGCAGTACAATTTCAGAAAGATCCATAGACTTACACACAAGTTATTGTCATGAAACTAGAAAAATGCTTGTTTTTTGCCCCTTTTTTGGCCCCTAATTCCTAAAATTTTGAGGCAATTACCCCCAAAATCAATCCAAGCATTCCTTTTGTTATATGGAACCTTGTGGAACAATGTCAGAGAGATCCATACACTAACACACAAGTTATGTCTGGAAGTTACAAAAATGCTTATTTTTGGCCCCTTTTTCCTTAACTGTTGGTACCATAACCCCCAAAATCAATCCCAACCTTCCTTTTGTGGTATTGAACCTTATGGTAAAATTTCATAGAGATCCATTCACTTGAACTAAAGTTAGAGTGCGAAAACCAATGTGTTTTCCGACGATGCCGAACGACGCCAGACGACGAAGACGACGCCAACATCATACCAATATACGACCGCAAAAATTTTTGCGGTCAACGTCATACCAATATACGACCGCAAAAATTTTTGCGGTCGTATAAAAACTGCAAAATTTCCTTAAAATTACCAATTCAGGGGCAGCAACCCAACAACAGGTTGTCAGATTTGTCTGAAAATTTCAGGGCAGATAGATCTTGACCTGATAATCAGTTTTACCCGATGTCAGATTTACTCTAAATGCTTTGGTTTCAGAGATATAAGCCAAAATCTACATTTTACCCCTATGTTCTATTTTTAACCATGTCGGCCATGATGGCTGGAAGGCGGGGTCGTCAGACAAATTTTGTAAACTAGATACCCTAATAATGATTATGGCCAAGTATGGTTAAATTTGTCTCAGTAGTTTCAGAGAAGAAGATTTTTGTAAAAGATTACAAAAATTTACGAAAAATTGTTAAAAATTGACTATAAAGGGCAATAACTTCTAAAGGGGTCGACTGACAATTTTGGTCATGACGACTTATTTGTAGATCTTACTTTGCTTAACATTATTGCTGTTTACAGTTTATCTCTATCTATAATAGTATTCAAGATAATAACCAAAAACTGCAAAATTTCCTTAAAATTACCAATTCAGGGGCAGCAACCCAACAACAGGTTGTCAGATTTGTCTGAAAATTTCAGGGCAGATAGATCTTGACCTGATAATCAGTTTCACCCGTCAGATTTATTCTAAATGCTTTGGTTTCAAAGATATAAGCCAAAATCTACATTTTACCCCTATGTTCTATTTTTAACCATGTCGGCCATGATGGCTGGAAGGCGGGGTCATCAGACAAATTTTTAAAACTAGATACCCTAATAATGATTATGGCCAAGTATGGTTAAATTTGTCTCAGTAGTTTCAGAGAAGAAGATTTTTGTAAAAGATTACAAAAATTTACGAAAAATTGTTAAAAATTGACTATAAAGGGCAATAACTTCTAAAGGAGTCGAATGACAATTTTGGTCATAACTACTTATTTGTAGATCTTACTTTGCTGAACATTATTGCTGTCTAAAGTTTATCTCTATCTATAATAGTATTCAAGATAATAACCGATAAAATGCTCCGCAGGGCGCAACTTGATACGACCGCAGAGGTCGAACCCTGAACAGTTGGGTCAAGTATGGACACAACATTCAAGCTTGATACAGCTCTGAATTTGGATTGTGATTAAATATTTGACACAGCATAGGTTTCTGACACAGAATGAATGTGGTCTAAGAACTTAAAAATTTTAAATTGGACATTCACCTATTATGGTCCAATATCCAAAATCTAAATACATGGTTAGATTCAGCATATCAAAGAACCCCAAGAATTCAATTTTTGATGAAATCAAACAAAGTTTAATTTTGGACCCTTTTGACCTCAATGTTGACAAAGTTGATAACGGGGCCCAAAAATCAAAAATCTAAATACATGGTTAGATTCAGCATATCAAAGAACCCCATATATTCAATTTTTGTTGAAATCAAACAAAGTTTAATTTTGGACCCAGATTTGGACCAACTTAAAAACTGGGCTCATAATCAAAAATCTAAATACATGTTTAGATTCAGCATATCAAAGAACCCTAAGAATTCAATTTTTGTTAAAATCAAACTTAGTTTAATTTTGGACCCTTTGGACCTTAATGTAGACCAATTTGAAAACGGAACCAAAAATTAAGAATCTTAATACAAGGTTAGATTCGGCATATCAAAGAACCCCAATAATTCAATTTTTGATGAAATCAAACAAAGTTTAATTTTGGACCCTTTGGACCTCAATGTGGACCAATTTAAAAACGGGGCCCAAAATCCAAAAACTTAATACACGGTTAGATTCAGCATATTAAAGAACCCCAAGAATTCAAGAATAAAACCCCATTGAAATTGGTCAAGAAATAAGCAATTTATACGAAGTATCTTCTTTTGCACAATACTGTGCAATTAAATATTTCTTGCTATTGCGCAATACTGCACAATTGACAATTTCTTGCTATTGCGCAATATTGTGCTATTGGATATTTCTTGCTATTGCGCAATACTGTGCAATTGAAGATTTCTTGCTATTGCGCAATACTGTGCAATTGAAGATTTCTTGCTATTGTGCAATACTGTGCAATTGAAAATTTCTTGCTATTGCACAATACTTATTATATAATAATTTACACATCCTGTTTGGTGTGTATCTCCTACCATATCATTATTATTTGCTTTTAAATATAAATCAGAAATAACCAACTTAAAATGGAAAATTTTAAAAGAAAAAAAAAAGGAAAAAAAGAAAAAAAAGGAAAAAAAATAAAAATCTCCCCCCCCCCCCAAATTTTTTGAACCCCCTTATGATTCATCACCCCCAAACTCAATCCCAGCCTTCCCTTTGTGGTATGGTACCTTGCAGTATAATTTCAGAGAGATCCATACACTTGAACACAAGTTATTGTCTGGAAACTAGAAAAATGCTTATTTTTGGCCCTTTTTTGGCCCCTTATTCCTAAACGTTTAGGGCAATTACCCCCAAACTCAATTCCAGCTTCTCCTTTGTGATATGGAACCTTGTAGTACAATTTCAGAAAGATTCATACACTTTCACACAAGTTATTGTCATGAAACTAGAAAAATGCTTGTTTTTTGCCCCTTTTTTTGCCCCTAATTCCTAATATTTTGAGGCATTACCCCCAAAATCAATCCCTTTGTGATATGGAACCTTGTGGTACAATGTCAGAGAGATCCATACACTAACACACAAGTTATGTCTGGAAGTTACAAAAATGCTTATTTTTGGCCCCTTTTTGGCCCCTAATTCCTTAACTGTTGGTACCATAACCCCCAAAATCAATCCCAACCTTCCTTTTGTGGTATTGAACCTTATGGTAAAATTTCATAGAGATCCATTCACTTAAACTAAAGTTAGAGTGCGAAAACCAATGTGTTTTCCGACGATGCCGAACGACGCCAGACGACGACGACGACGCCAACATCATACCAATATACGACCGCAAAAATTTTTGCGGTCTTAAAAATGGAAAATTTCCTTAAAATTACCAATTCAGGGGCAGCAACCCAACAACAGGTTGTCAGATTTGTCTGAAAATTTCAGGGCAGATAGATCTTGACCTGATAATCAGTTTTACCCGATGTCAGATTTACTCTAAATGCTTTGGTTTCAGAGATATAAGCCAAAATCTACATTTTACCCCTATGTTCTATTTTTAACCATGTCGGCCATGATGGCTGGAAGGCGGGGTCGTCAGACAAAATTTTGTAAACTAGATACCCTAATAATGATTATGGCCAAGTATGGTTAAATTTGTCTCAGTAGTTTCAGAGAAGAAGATTTTTGTAAAAGATTACAAAAATTTACGAAAAATTGTTAAAAAATGACTATAAAGGGCAATAACTCCTAAAGGGGTCGACTGACAATTTTGGTCATGCCGACTTATTTGTAGATCTTACTTTGCTGAACATTATTGCTGTTTACAGTTTATCTCTATCTATAATAATATTCAAGATAATAACCAAAAACTGCAAAATTTCCTTAAAATTACCAATTCAGGGGCAGCAACCCAACAACGGGTTGTCAGATTTGTCTGAAAATTACAGGGCAGATAGATCTTGACCTGATAATCAGTTTTACCCTATGTCAGATTTACTCTAAATGCTCTGGTTTTAGAGATATAAGCCAAAATCTACATTTTACCCCTATGTTCTACTTTTAGCCATGGCGGCCATCTTGGTTGGTTGGGGGGTCATTGGACACTTTTTTTAAACTAGATACCCTAATGATGATTGTGGCCAAGTTTGGTTAAATTTGGTCCAGTGGTTTCAGAGGAGAAGATTTTTGTAAAAGCTAACGACGACATACGACGGACGACGGACAACGAACGCCAAGTGATGAGAAAAGCTCAATTTTAGGTGAGCTAAAAAATAACGTGTGCACATATCGACCAATCAGGATTAGCCATAGTCTTAATTCTGAATACCATGTTATCTTCATAACAAGAGGCTCTCAAGAGCCTGTGTCACTCACCTGTATTTACTGATGCTTTGGAAATCATGTAAAATAAGGTTAAAATCATAATTAATAGTATTAGATATTAGATATTATAATGATATCTAAGATAATAACAAAAAACTGCAAAATTTTTGTAAAATTACTAACTCAGGGGCAACAACCCAACAACGGGTTGTCGGATTCGTCTGAAAATTTCAGGGCAGATAAATCTAAATCTGATGAACATTTTTGCTGCCTGTCAGATTTGCTCTAAATGCTTTAGTTTCAGAGATATAAACCAAAAACTGCATTTTACCCCTATGTTCTATTTTTAACCAAGTCGGCCATGATGGTTGGAAGGCGGGGTCATCGGACAAATTTTTTAAACTATATACCCTAATAATGATTATGGCCAAGTATGGTTAAATTTGTCTCAGTAGTTTCAGAGAAGAAGATTTTTGTAAAAGATTACAAAAATTTACAAAAAATTGTTAAAAATTGACTATTAAGGGCAATAACTCCTAAAGGGGTCGACTGACAATTTTGGTCATGACAACTTATTTGTAGATCTTACTTTGCTTAACATTATTGCTGTTTACAGTTTATCTCTATCTATAATAATATTCAAGATAATAACCAATAAAATGCTTCGCTGGGGCGCAGCTTGATACGACCGCAGAGGTCGAACCCTGAACAGTTGGGGCAAGTATGGACACAACATTCAAGCTTGATACAGCTCTGAATTTGGATTGTTATTAAATATTTGACACATCATAGGTTTCTGACACAGAAGGAATGTGGTCTAAGAATTTGAATTTTTTTTAATTTACCTATTATTGTCCAATGTCCAAAATCAAAATACATGGTTAGATTCAGCATATCAAAGAACCCCATATATTCAATTTTTGTTAAAATCAAACAAAGTTTAATTTTGGACCCCAATTTGGACAAACTTGAAAACTGGGCCCATAATCAATAAAATGCTTCGCTGGGGCGCAGCTTGATACAACCGCAGAGGTCGAACCCTGAACAGTTGGGGCAAGTATGGACACAACATTCAAGCTTGATACAGCCCTGAATTTGGATTGTGATTAAATATTTGACACAGCATAGGTTTCTGACACAGAAAGAATGTGGTCTAAGAACTTGAATTTTTTTAATTTACCTATTATGGTCCAATGTCCAAAATCAAAATACATGGTTAGATTCAGCATATCAAAGAACCCCATATATTCAATTTTTGTTAAAATCAAACAAAGTTTAATTTTGGACCCCAACTTGGACAAACTTGAAAACTGGGCCCATAATCAAAAATCTAAACACATGTTTAGATTCAGCATATCAAATAACCCTAAGAATTCAATTTTTGCTAAAATCAAACTAAGTTTAATTTTGGACCCTTTGGACCTTAATGTAGACCAATTTAAAAAACGGGACTTAAAATTAAAAATCTAAATACACGGTTAGATTTGGAATATCAAAGAACCCCAATAATTCAATTTTTGATGAAATCAAACAAAGTTTAATTTTGGACCCTTTTGACCTCAATTTGAACCAACTTGATAGCGGGGCCCACAAATAAAAATTCTAAATTCATGGTTATATTCAGCATATCAAAGAACCCCATATATTCAATTTTTGTTGAAATAAAAAAAAGTTTAATTTTGGACCCCAACTTGGACCAACTTGAAAACTGGGCCCATAATAAAAAATCTAGACACATGTTTAGATTCAGCATATCAAAGGACCCCAAGAATTCAATTTTTGTTAAAATCAAACTAAGTTTAATTTTGGACCCTTTGGACCTCAATGAAGACCAATTTAAAAAACGGGACCCAAATTAAAAATCTAAAAACACGGTTAGATTTGGCATATCAAAGAACCCAAATAATTCAATTTTTGATAAAATCAAACAAAGTTTAATTTTGGACCCTTTTGACCTCAATATGAACCAATTTGATAGCGGGGCCTACAAATAAAAAATCTAAATACATGGTTAGATTCAGCATATCAAAGAACCTCATATATTCAATTTTTGTTGAAATCAAACAAAGTTTAATTTTGGACCCCAATTTGGACCAACTTGAAAACTGGGCCCATAATCAAAAATCTAAATACATGTTTAGATTCAGCATATCAAAGAACCCCATATATTCAATTTTTGTTGAAATCAAACAAAGTTTAAATACTGGACCCTATCTTGGACCAACTTGAAAACTGGGCCCATAATCAAAAATCTAAACACATGTTTAGATTCAGCATATCAAAGAACCCCAAGAATTCAATTTTTGTTAAAATCAAACTAAGTTTAATTTTGGACCCTTTGGACCTTAATGTAGACCAATTTAAAAAACAGGACCCAAAATTAAAAATCTAAATACACGGTTAGATTTGGAATATCAAAGAACCCCAATAATTCAATTTTACATGAAATCAAACAAAGTTTAATTTTGGACCCTTTTGACCTCAATATGAACCAATTTGATAACGGGGTCCACAAATAAAAAATCTAAATACATGGTTAGATTCAGCATATCAAGGAACCCCATATATTCAATTTTTGTTGAAATCAAACAAAGTTTAATTTTGGACCCCAATTTGGACCAACTTGAAAACTGGGCCAAAAATCAAAAATCTAAATACATGTTTAGATTCAGCATATCAAAGAACCTCATATATTCAATTTTTGCTAAAATCAAACAAAGTTTAATTTTGGACCCTTTGGACCTTAATGTAGACCAATTTGAAAACTGGACCCAAAATTAAAAATCTAAATACACTGTTGGATTCGGCATAACAAAGTGATCAAAGATTTTACAAATCTAAAAGAGGGACGAAAGATACCAGAGGGACAGTCAAACTCATAGATCGAAAACAAACTGACAACGTCATGGCCAAAAATAAAAAGACAAACAGACAAATAATAGTACAGATGACACAACATAGAAAACTAAAGACTAAGCAACTCGAACCCCACCAAAAACTTGGGGTGATCTCAGGTGCTCCGGAAGGGTAAGCAGATCCTGCTCCACATGTGGCACCCGTCGAGTTGCTTATGTTATTACAAATCCAGTAAATAGTCTAATTCGGTAAGTCACATTCGTGAAAAGGGAAAGGTATTGTAGTTACGACATAAGGAACATATCCGATATCATCTGTGAAACGGTTATTCCATAACGGTCAACCAACTCGTGATGGCGTCCGTAAAATTTACGAAGGGATGACTTCAACTTCACCATTTGGAACTCTTGGTTTAATAGCTTCCTTGTGAGCAGCAATCCTCTATCAAGGAAATCATGATAGGAAACACAAGC